ATAAAGTTTTTCACATTTTATCTCTTTTAATGTTTGTCAAAGATTCGTCTTCATTAATGAATAATAAAAGTTTATCCGAAGTAGGAAACTTTTTTTGTAAATAAATTGAATAAACTTTAATTCGAATCAATTGTTTCACTTTATCGTCTATGTGAATAGACTTTCTCCCTATTGACGTTTTAGGTGCTTCTGTAATACTTAGTCTCTTTCGTTACTTTACATGTCTATAAATGCAGGTAGTTGCTTCTCCTACTCCGGTCATATCTGAATACTTCGAACTATACTCCGAACAGTTCTTATAAAATGTTCATGTACAAGAACATCATGTACATTTAACACTTAAGTTTCTATTGGCACGATTAAATGGCACTTTAATTTCACAGCAGTAAAATTAGAATTTTTGTGACATTCTTACTACACAAGTTCACTTATTAATTTTTTTTTTTTTATTATAGAACTAACAACTGTGCTTGTTATAATCACAGGACTTTACTTGTTATAAACACAACCTTATAATAGTAACCAAAATGATAAACACGTTCTGCCTCTTGGAAATTCTAACCCTTTCTATGAAAGTTGGGAGCTTACGAATAGATCTTCTCCTTTTTGAAAATTGTAAATATTTTGTATCTATAGAGATTACTTATATCATTTATTGATTGAAATGAAAATTTTAGGTAAAACCCAGTGCTAAAATTATATTTTAGAAAATCCCCGTCACTGTTTTATAACGTTATATTGGGTGATATTTCATGTGCAATAAAATTTGTGCTATCAATTATTTTCAAATATACTATACCACTATATTGTGGTAACTTTATTTAGCTAAATAAATTTGACTAATCCAAACTATACAGATATATGTTGTATTAGTCGTGTACATGACTTACTATTGCTTAAACGTTTCGCCAAATTTGTCATTTTCAATAAGCACTTTATTAACTTTATTTTATAATCATTACGGTTTATAATTAAATTTTATATTACCACTTAAAAGTTTAACATATATTAAAAAATTAGTATCTAATATTGTTCCATGATATCTGGCAGGTAATGTTATAATAGGAGTGGATCTGGGTCGTATCTGATATAGTGCATATAAAAAACAACTCAATTTAATAAATTACGATACATATTAAAAAGATCTTTGATATCAGTTTTATTATTGAAAGAATTTGGATTTTTTTGTGCGAGTTATCTCCAATATGCATCTTGTGTTATAATTTTGTTCTTTTTCCAAAATCTGTACATTTTCAAAATCAAAAGAATGGCTATTTTCTAGAGAATGTTTGGTTAGGGCTGTTGTGTTTAATGTATTGGTCTGCACAATATGTTTGTGTGCAAGAATCCTTCTATGTAGGTATTGGTGTGTTTGCCCAATATATGTTGAAATAATTCTATTTTTTCTGCTACCAAAAAGCAAAAATCCAAAACACTATATATTAATCAGTTTATTGTGAAAACTGTTAAAAAACATTTTCAAAGGTTATATATATATATATATATAATATATATATATATATATATATATATATATATATATAACTTAATAAAAAAAATAGAAAATAAATAAAACGCGACATACAAAAATGGAACAAGAACTTAATAGAGCGAGTCATTGAAAATAACAGAGGCTTAAAATGTCTAAGACCCGCACTGGGAGTTCAAAAAATCATCAAAATTAAAGACGCTAACAATAAGGTAGAGAGGGACAAATATAAAATAACAAATATTGTCGAAGACTTCTACACATCCTCGTACAGCTCGTAAGGCCAGCCTAATGAAACAACAAAGGAGAACGTCAAAAGAAAAATAAAAAACGTGGGATCAGAAGTACTACCAAATATAAAGGGATATGAAATTGAAAAAGCTTTAAAAAAAACTGAAAAATAATAAATTGCCGAGCTCCTGAAAACAAGCAAGACATTAACAATCCCTGTACTAACAGAGCTATTTAGTAGATGTCTCCACAATAGCCAGATCCCTACAGACTGGAACGAGAGTCTAGTAATACTCTTACACAAAAAAGGGGACAAATGTGATCTACAGAATTATAGACCTATATTGTTGCTCCGTCAAGTATACAAACTATTTAGGAGAATTATTAATAACCGGTTAACCTACAAAATGGATAATTACCAACCGGTTGAACAGGCTGGCTTCTTCAAAGGATATATTACATCAGACCATCTGCTGACAATGAGAACATTGCTAGAGAAGGCAAATGAATACCAACGATGATGGTATTTCTTGCCTTCGTCGACTATGAAAAGGCGTTTAATAGTATCGAGATGTGGGTCATAGAACAAGCTATTAATAATTGTAGAATATACTCAAGATATAGGCAACTAATACATAATATATATGAAAATGCAACTATGATAGTACAACTAGACGAAAATACAAATCCCATCCCCATTAAGAGAGGAGTGAGACAAGGAGACGTAATATCGCCAAAGCTTTTTAACCTAGCCCTAGAAGACGTCTTCAAAACTACAAATTGGTCAACCTATAGCATTAACGTTAACGACAACAAGTTAAACCACTTCATATTCGCTGATGACATAGTGATTATAGCGAGCACATTCGAGAAACTGCAAATTATGTTGGGGGAACTAGCAGCCAGCTCCCAATACATCGGCCTAAAAATGAATATGAAAAAAACAAAAATAATGACAAACACAGAAGACCCCAGACATATATCTATAAACGACAGTGAGATAGAACAAATCCAGGAATATATTTACCTAGGCCAAATCCTGAGACTTGACAAAGAGAACGAAAGTGCGGAAATTACTAGAAGAGCAAGACTAGCATGGGCAGGATTTGGAAAACTTAGTTGGATACTTAAGAACCGCAAAATACCCCAATACTTGAGGAGCAAAGTGTTCAACCAATGCATCCTTCCTATCATGACATATGAATGTCAAACCTGAACCCTAACCAAGGCAAACATGAATAAACTAGCCACAAGAGAAAGAAAAATGGAAAGAGCAATGTTAGGTATACGACTGTTAGATAAAAAGAGGAACGTAGGTGGGTAAGATCCAAAACAAAAGTCGAGGACATAACAATAAAAATTGCAAAACTTAAATAGAGCTTCGCGGGCCACACTGCTAGACAGAAATACCAACGTTGGAATACTACAATACAACATTGGAGAAATTACGAAAGTAAACGACCAAGAGAAAGACTACAGATGAGATGGGTTGATGACATTAGAAGAACAGCCGGAACAAAATGGACATATGTTGCTCAGGAAAAGTACCGATGGAAGGAGTTGGGAGAGGCCTATGTCCAAACATGGACGACAAAAGGCTAAGAAGAAGAAGGATATATATATATATATATATATATATTATATATATATATATATATATATATATATATGCAGAAATAACTACTAGAAAGTGTAAAGCGAATATGAGTAATAGACAATTTTACTTTCGTAATGGCTTCGGAATAGTACAAGCTCTGTTGTCTCACAACTCTTGCTCAAAAAATAAAGGACTTGATGAGAAAGCTGGAAGCCTTTGATATGTGGCTTTTTAGAAGAGTTTTAAAAATACTATGGACCGATCATATTACGAACGAAATGATGTTGCACAGAATGGAAAAAGAAAAAGGGAAAGAACTTTTGACCACCATTAAAAGAAGAAAGATAGCATATTTATGGCACATACTTAAAAATAAAAAGTATGAGTTGTTGCAGCTTATTATGAAAAGTAAAATCAAAGAAAAAAGGGTTTCTGGTAGACGACAGATGGTATCTAACAAAAACTCTATTGGACAGGGTTAAATACACAGACGCATTTAGGAAAAGCAGAAGATGCATTTGCAATGGTTATAGCTAACCTTTATTAGTGGAGTGAGTACTAGAAGAAAAAGAGAAGACCCTTTGTTTTAATATTTGTCGACAAAATATTTAAACTGGCATGGCTTAATGAAATTCAATTGTCAAAATTAACTAACGATTAAATAAAATTATCTTTAAAAAAATAAGGATAGCAGTTTTTAATATACAATAGTTTGAAATGAGATAAAGATTTGCATTAAAATATTAAAATTGGATTTCTAAAAATAAACAATTATAAAAACAATTTGCAAGCAGACAAATATATTTCATTAGATAGATTCGATCAAAATGATCTTCAAAATCGAATAAATGACTAACAAGTACAGCCAACTTAAAAGGTCCAAGAAGGTCCTGAAAACAAATTGGGATACAGGTTAAGTTTTTAATGACAATCATAAACTACAAAATGTTAAACTTAAATGAATTTTTTTAATCTTTTGTTTAATAATATAAAAACTTTATTAACTTACTCTACCTTAAACTCAGTTGACTAGTTACTTCTCTCAGATCCACACATAGGCGTTGTTTCGAAAAAGGTATGATAAATCAATGAATCGTTCTTAAGCTAGTGTAAATATTCTGCCTATAAGACGGTCTCGCTATCTCAGGGCCTCATCTATGGTATGGAAAGTGGAGAGTCAGCAGATTAATGTAAATCGTTTCACATTTTTCTAATAACACACCATTTAGAACTTATGGTTAATGGTTTATTATTACAATTGCTATCTGTTTGTCTGTCTGTCTGTTTGCATTCAGGGTTGAGATTAAGGTGTAACAAAACAATTTTGGAACCAGAAACTTAAGTTAACAATATGCGTGTCCTATATTTCTGATAGAAAAACATTTATTTATTATATTAGAGTATTTTTGGAATACCACTCTATTTATGTTATTATATTTAGAATACGTCTTTGGTATATACTATACAGTGTCCATATTTTCCCTTTTAGTTAGATCTAACCATTGACCTTATTTCGTTTTAATTTTTATCTTTTTAGCCATTTTTAAACGTATTTTAAATAATTTTGCGAAAAGTTCCATACAAGTACTAAAGTGTCCATTGATGAGGGTCTCATAGGGCCGAAAACGTTTTAAAACATTTGGTAATCCATTTGGATGTTTTATTTTTATTTATTTTTTTTTTAACAAATGTACCAATTCCATTACAAGTTCCATTCAAAAGTAAAAGAAAAACTGCAAACGTTTTTTAACTAGCGTGTACAATCAACTACTCGGAGTTTTCACATTTTACGTAAAATTTAATTGCCAAATAAAATGGTCAAAGAGATTTTTGAATATAAAGCAGTGTATTAGCTTAAACCTTTTTAACTACTTCTTTTAACTAACTAACTTTTAACAGCTTCACGGATTAAAAAAATTAGAAAATGAAGAAAAATTTATTTAACTAAATACTATTTAATGATGTCCGTGACCGTGTGGTGGACCTTGAGAATGAAGGCATTTGAAAAGAGCAACAGCAGTTTCTTCAGCAGTTTCACCTGCTACGCGTTTGCCGCATTTTTCTACGATTGTATTTACGAGATTTGGGTCGCTAGTAGCTTCAGTTATAGCCTTCCTCAGTTTGTCTACATTTATGTCGCCACTTTCCGTTTGAAGCCCAGCTTGTACGTTCATGCACAGAGTATGCTTTGACAATTGTGTGTTGTGTACCTTTTCGCCCCTCCTAAGTTTGTCAAATACATCACTGTCAATTCTAGTTGCCTCTTGGCTTTGGCAATGTTCGTGGGCCTTTTTAACTGCTTCCCTTTGTTCGTTGGTAGGGGCTGCGTATACCTACAACATAAAAACAAAGATAATAATTATTTAAGGGTGCATTTTAAAATAATATAAAATTATAACTGCTTAAAATGAAAAAATTGAACGAAACAAATGAAACAACAATTAAACAAACTGAATTAAAGCGTAACGAAAAGGTTTACGTGTACCTATATAACGTTTATAAAGAAAACAGATAAAGACAAAAACACTATATTATTAATAATTTACAGGATAGTTCAAAGCTGAGATTGCAATCATACGAAAAAAACTAAGGTGTTTCATAAATAAATTTATAAACTTTAAAGACCCGAAATAAAAAAAATCGTTTATTCGAAAGGAATAAAGAAAAATATTTCAATTTTAAAGGTAAAATATAAAAACAATTAAAACTAAATCCACAAAGAAAACAATTCCTGTAGCTGGCTGTATACCACGTATCACAAAAAAAAGGTTAGTCTTCGTAAATGGGTATATTTTTTAAAAACCCTTAAAAGGGATGCATCAAAAAACAAACGTTTTCGGACTAAACAGTCCATCATCAGGTTTAAAATTGCCTAAAATAAGTATAAACCATTTAGTTAAAGCAAACGTGGTGTTTTTAAAATTTTGACTAGGGTTAAAAAGCAAAAAATGGTTATACTTACTAGGTTAAAATGCCTGAGCCACCAAAATATCAGGGTAAAAACCCTTTAAATTACATGTAGTTATTAAAGATTGTACATATTATTGTTAGAAAACTGTGATGTTAGATATTAAATTGAATTTGACTTCAGCTAACATGCTTGAAGTGAGTTCCAGTGTCCGGAGAGTAAACCTCTTCAAACGGACTACAGCTGGTAACTGATTGACAAGATACCCATGAACGGTGTCAAAAACAAAATGTCAATGCAACATGAAACTATATTAGTTGTACATAGTATTACTACAGCCAAAAGATTCAAAAAAAATTTTTTCAATGATATTAAAAATAATAACAGCAATCCAAGTGTTGGGATCTAAAAACTTTTTTTTTATTAATGTTGGGTATAAAAGATGTGGAATTACCGCTGGTGTTAAAGTCATGTTTAAGAGAATGATATGTGCATTGTGCATTAGGCAACCTATGTTACTTTTGTCGTATGGAATGTGGTCTAACAGTGTATTTAATGTTAGATTATATATATATATATATATATATATATATATATATATATATATATATATAATCTGAATATATATATATATATATATATATATATATATATATATATATATATATATATATATATATATATATATATATATATATTCAGACCCCTACTAAAGGGGAATCTACTTGAAATTATACAACAGTGTACTATGGGATATCTTATAACAGGTTTACCGACTTACTAGCCAGCAGACCCAAACAAAAACAAAGTACTTGATTTTTTGTACTTTGTACGTACTGGGGGAACGACATTACAGTTACATAATCCCATTATAATTACATTAAATTACAGCCCTGTATTAAAGAAAACTCTGTTTAATATATGCACGAAGTTCATCTATCTGAAAGCTTTTAAAGACCAGTAGTGGCTGTTTCCTCAGTAAAAAAACTTGACAATAAATGGACTCCGCTAGAAGATAAAAAAGGGTACTAAAAAAACCCAGCAAAGGTTTTTACTTCACTTCAAGGCAACGTTAATAATGAACTTATCACTGGCCGTCTATAATAAATATAGAACCGCGTTAAGCCCCAGGATATGACATTATTATACTATTACTGACCATAATTTTATAGTATAGAGTAAATTCTTCTGTGTTACTACTTAGTTTAGTAAATGTTTGCATAACTTATTCCTGTCCATAAATTAGGAAAAACAAACAGGGGTATCAATATATTAACCAATAAGCATGCTGTCTACAAATGTAAAATGTTAGAAAAGTGACCTTTTTGAAATACAGTCATTTCAGATGATCAGGTACAGGTCATTAAGTACTTAAGACTAAACTTTACCGAACACTTTATTGTAAGAGGTCAAGTAAAGCCAAAAAAAGTATCAGCTTGTTTTAAAAACTAAACAAATGAATTGGCTTATTTGAATACATTCAAAATTATTAATTTTTAGCAAAATAACTGTATCTAAGTCAATTTTTAAGCCAATTTGGATATACGGTATTAAACTTCACCATGGTGCACTTCAACACCATGATTATACAAACATTTCACTCCAAAACCATACTTTCTATTATAAACGCACTTTGGTTCATCTTCAACTTAACAATAAATAAATATTTATAAATCCCATTTAATATTTGATAAAATTTGGTCACAAGTAGAAAACAACAAAAATTGGATATCGTATTACAGAAACCAATTATTCTAAGAACTATCCAACAACTGCCCTAAGAACAATTATTTGCTTCAATTGTATTCATTTCATTTTTTATGGTGAACTAGGTACATTATAATTGGTTTCATCAGTTTTTAGGATATTTGTTTTAGTTTCAGAGCTAGCTTTCTGTAAAACAACATACCACTTGATTCCTTTCATTTAATTCATCCCGCTTCTACTCCACTACATACATCTCGATTTATTTCTCCATTAGTCTATTAAACCGATAGCCCTAGCTTATTGACAATGCAAAAATAGTAAAAAAAATCATCTAAATGATATAATTTCTGTACTCCAAATATCCTCTAGATACGTTAAAGAAACTTAATGTAATATACATAATTAATTATATGTAAAGCTGTACATATTGGAATTTTTTCAACCGCAATATTTCCTACCAAAGTGATTGCAGATTCAAAAAACATTATTGTGCTTTGGCAGAGCATGTGATTGATAAATACCATAATCATGGATTATAACAATAAAATTTTGTGCAATGATAATAATAAATTCAAAAGAACCTCTATAGACATGGTATATAATAAGCAAAAATAATCAAAGTTTAGATAAAAGATCGGAAATTCAGAATTTAAATAAAATTTATAACTCAATATTTATTTATAATTCATTCATAGCACCATAGGTACTCTTGCTGTTTTTGTGTGTTTTTTTTTCTTTTTCTATAATCTTAATACATTCTTTTGTGCTTTATTTAGTATTTGTATATTATTAGAATCATCTCTCAATTATCACGTTGGCAATATATTTAAAATATATTCCACTTTTAGCTACTTGTCGATCTAGGCTGGCATTTCATTGGCATTGGTGGGTTTTTTTTGTACTACATTTTACTTTTATCAATAATTTATTTAAAACAACCTTGGTCAAAATTCAAATCATTTTAACCAATAATTTGTAATATGTAGTTGTGAAAATATTTATTTTCTTTTTAGTAGTATAGAATAGTATATAACTTTTTTAGTTATAGAAATATAAATCTACTGAACATCGCACTTAAGCTTACCACAAAACTCCTAACCAACAAAATCAATAAAATAACAACTTTATCAGATTAGCAACAAGGATTCAGATCCGGAAGATCCTGTGTAGACGCCGTATTTGTACTAAGACAAATCACAGAGAAGGCCATCGAGTATAATAAATAAGTATATCTATGTTTTATAGACCTAACAAAGACTTTCGATCACATCCAAGTCGAAGACGTCTTACACCTACTGTATAAAAGGAAGATAACAATCAATAGTATACAAACCTTCGAAACAATCTACTTCCATAATCAAATATAGGTAAAGTTAAATGGAAAACTAACACAGTGTATACCAGTACAAAACGGAGTTACACAGGGTGGCTCGTTAAGCATACTTATTTACAATACAATAATGGACGAAATAATACGAGCAGTACGTAAAGCCATGGTTACAAAATGGGGAACAAAGAAATCCAAATACCATGTTATGCAGATGACTCCGCATTAATCGCCGAGACAGAAGACGAGATCCAAAGATTAACACACATCTTAAATTCAACAGCCAAGAAATAAAACATGATAATATTAGCAAAAAAAACCAAATGTGTGACAACATCTTAATAATCACTACGATATAAAATCGAAATTGATGGAAAAATAATAAAGCAGGAAGCAAGGTTTAGATATTTTGAATGGACATTACTAGTTACGGAAATGTTCAAGAAGAAGTACAATAACAAAGCTTAATAGTAAGTAAAGCGGCGGGATCTCTTAATGACACAATCTGGAAGAACAAGCACATAATACAAGACAAAAAAACAAGAATTTATAAATCAGCAATTAGACCTATATTAAGACAAAGACACACGGCGGAGACAAAACCTGAACATCTGAAACGAGACGACTACTAAAAACAACAGAGATAAAACTACTTTGACAAATATCAGGGAAAAGTCTGTTGGTTAGGGAGAGAAACGAAAGAATAAGAATAACATGGAATATAGAAGACACAAATGGATGGGTGACAAAACGGAAACAGGAGTGGAACGAACATATTAGTAGAATGGCAGAGGATAGAATAGTACGAATAGCACGAGATAAGTCACCAAACGGGCGAAGAAGTATTGGCATACCAAGAAAAAGACGTTACGATAATTAAAACAATTTAGAAGGCTAATATTGAAGAAGATACAGGCTTTAAAGCCTACATACAAGTAGGAAGAAGAAGAAGAAGATGTAAGAACTTAATTTTAATGAAGTTATTTAAGTTGCTAGTGTCAATTAATTAATGTAGATTGAACTGGTGAGTTATTCGTTTATATTTTAAAGCTCCAGTAATGAAAAGTAGTCTTCTAGCCTCCCTTTTATTGACTCCAACGCACACAAACTGAATATTTTTTCACAAAGTACTCCACAAGTCAGTCACAAATCAGTCAAACTCTTTGTGTTTTAAAATTTGTGCTCCAGTGATTTATAGAGTAAAAGAAGTCATGGCTTAATCAACATTTCGCAAATAACTTCGCATACTAAAAAGAAAAGAATACCGACAACATAGAATAAAGGTAAAAAACAAGAGAGAAAGATAAAGGAAAGGTTAAATTTCTACTTATTTATAGCAGATAAGAATCACGAAACAATTAAAACCTTAATATCATTTTTAAATACAAATGGTTTTAAAAGTAACTACTTACGACAGCTAAGATGGTAAATGCAAGAATTAGGCACTTCATGATGTTTGATTTTTTTTAACACCAGCGGCAACAACTTGGTCTTATATATGTGAATTTATTTTTATCTTTATTTCTATTTAATTAGAGTCAACACATGTCATATTACCCAATTGAACTTCAGATTAATGAATAATTTTTGGTTACATCTCGAAAATATTCCATAGTATGATAAGAAATCAATGAAGATATACCATAAATACTGTTTATAAGAAAAAATTACATAATAATTAAAATTCTAGTTAGTATTATCTAATGTATGTTGTTTGTCACATATTATATACAGTATGGTGTGATTGAAAGGAATAACTAAGCAAATCAAAAATGTCTAATGAACTCAAAGTGTTTTTTATTTCATATATACACCAATTTTAAGTGAATTTTATTAAGTGACATATTGTTATAATGCCTGATTTACCGGTAATACATTTATCTAAGTGTAATCTGATTTCTCTATAATAAAATAATTAGACAAAACTTAAGAAGTGTACCAATTTAACCCTAGAACACTAACCTTAATTTCCACTCCTGTAGACACTAACCATTCGTGATATTTACTATATACTATTATTACGATATTAACTCCAAAAAAGTAAAACAAAAAATTAAGATGATATTTTAATTAATTTTTTAGAGGAACAAAGGAACATTTTTATATCTAAATTGTACAAAAAAATTTCAAAATTTGTGCATCTACGTCACAGGTAACGCAACAAAAGGCACGGTGTTCTGCGCAAAACGCTCGTTTGCAGTGATTGCAATGAAGTGACTTCATTCTTCTTTTTTTGGAGGGACAGATGTAACATGTAGTACGTTTGTTAGAAGGTTGATTGTCCTCAGTAACTTCCAAAGAAATTTTAATTAAATCACTAATCAGAAGCTTCACCGAGCGTTGCAAAGTCGGCATCGCAAAACGCTTTTTAAGCCATAATCTTGTGAGTTCTTGATGGAGATTTAACATAAAAGCCTTTCTTGTTATTGGCTCCTTATTATTTATTGATAAATTACGATTATATATAAACCAAGAGTTTATACACGCTATGTTCATCATACCATAGAATATACACAGCGGCCATCTTCGAGTTTTTCGGGAGCAACTTCGATGGCCACACATTTGGTCAAAAGTGTCCACACCACTCTTTGTTTGGTTATAGTTCAATATTATTTCGGGTTTTTTAGTAGTTGGACAAACAACTAAGCCTTCGTGCATTGTTGACAATACTAGAACGGTTTTGTTCTTTTTGAATTTATAGGACACTAACGTCTTCTCTCGGTCAAAGTAAAATTTTGAATTTCCGATTTCTCTGTTTTTAAAATTAATCATTTTAGGAGGTATCTCTCGTTTATTTTGCCGCAAAGTACCAATAATTGTAAGGTTGTAAGGAGGCTTTAAAAGAGTATCAGCAAGGTTTACTGAAGTGGACCAATTGTCCATTGTGACGTTTCGGTAACTTCCGTAAATAGTTTCAGTCAACTTTTTAACATAGTATTCTCCTAGAGATTCCCCATTTGTGTGCGTATGTTTGCCGAGATAAGGGTTGCGTTCAACATGTACTTGGTACCCGCGTCGCAAGTCATCACAATTTTAATTCCGTACTTGGCCGGCTTATTCGGGATATACATCCTGAAAGGGCACCGGCCCCCAAAAGCTAATAACTGCTCGTCAATAGTTATATAGCTACCTGGTTGATAAGACTCTTTACAATTAAAAATAAATTCATCCCATATTTCTCGAATAGGGGCAAACCTATCTAAATTTCTTCTTTCAGTTCTTGTGGCTTTATTATCGAACCTAAGATTATGTAGAAGAAAATCAAATCTTTCGCAGCTCATTGTTGCTCTATAAACGGAGCCAGACATTTTGGAATCAAACATCTCTCTACTGTGGAGATGATTATCTTTTTGTGCTCCAGAAGATATAAGTAGTCCAACAAGAGCATTTAATTCATCACTTGTTACGAGAGAATTAGTATGTTTAGCAACTTTAAAACTTTTAGATTTTAGGCTGATTTGAGTGTGCAACATAATTTTTTCGTACATAGAATCTTTCATCAAACACTGAAATACATCTAATGGGATATTAGCATCTTTTGCCTGTCCAGATGGCCCTTGAACAATATGCAAAATATTCCTTTTGGTGGTACGTTTCCGAAGATTAGATACAGTACACCAGCGATGACCATTTTTGCCTTTAAGGCTTTTAGTCAAATTGGAAGTATGAGGATCAGATTCGTCTACAATGTCTTCGGTTTCTCGCTCTTCCACTTGTTATAAACTTACTTTTTGATTACCTTTTTCGTTTTGATGAGGCTGAGTTATAATTTGTTGAAATGAATGCTCTTGTTGAATGTCGGTTTCCACAGAAGAAATCACATATTGAACTCTACATGAACTACTAGGCATAGAAACAGAGGTAGAGCAGTTATTAGACGTTCTTTTTTACGTTTTAGGACTGCTATGCTCAAAATCGTTGCTTTCGTCACCAGAAAATTCAGGCTCGTACTCAGATTCAGACGGACTGAAATTTTGTACCCTGTCTTCACTTTATCAATAACTAGAAGTTTCTTCATTTGATTGTAGACTCTTATCATCAAATTCACCCATCAATATTTTTTCGGCTTCCAATTCCAATTCTAATTGGGTTAAGGGCCTTTTATCTTCAAATTTTCTAGCCTTTTTTTAATTAAATTGTCTGTAATAACTGAATTGACTGAATAACGAAGCTACTCATATACCTATGCTTCCAAAATTCATGCAAGGTTGCCAATTCTTAAGAAAACAATCGGAGTTCGTATATTTTATGAATGGTTAGTGTTCTAGGGTTAAAGGAAATTTCCAATATACAAGTCAATATAAAACATAAAAATATAACAATAAATGCTTCATAATCTTTATTTTCCCGAGCAGCATTAATTACACCTTTTCATTCTTATATAAGAAGACCTTGTCTAGTTCTAGATTGTCCAGATGAGTAGCAATACGTCCATGAAGTAAATTCCATAGCATATTCTCATTTATAAGACAGGTAGCAAAAAGGATATTAAAATTTTATTAAATTCACAGAGATCATCAACATACCGCTAGCACTAACCTTCATAGATATCAAGGCGATAATAGAAGTTTTGTCCAACCAAGGCATTGACAAACCGTATATAGAGACTTTAGTGAATACATACATATAAGTGAAAGCTAAGGCAAAATTGTATGAAAACACTCCAGAATTTTCCACTGCCAGAGCCATTCGATAAGGAGATGCAATATCATCAAAGCTCTTTATTGCATTATTAGAAAATATGTATTTACCAAAATTAACTATCAGAACAAGGACCTTTCCATTGATGGAGGATACCTTAACCATCTAATATTTGAAGGCGACATTGTTCTGATTGCTAATAATCCTGAAAAACTACAAGAATTATTAGCAGCTGGCAATAAAGCTACTACCTAAATGCAGCTGGCAATAAAGCCTGAAAAATAATTTCTCAAAAACAAAAAGCATGTACAATGAGATATTGGATGTCCAAAATAAAGTAATAAACAAGAATGCACTTGAGACAGTGGACGAGAATGTATGCCTCTTACAATTATTAATACATTAATCTCGCTCCATACTCTTAGAATTCAACGAAAGAATGAAACTAGCGTGGCCATATTTTGGTATATATTCAAATCAAAGATGTCTCTAAACCTAAAGAAAAAAGCATTTGATCAGTGTACACTAGCAACAATTACATACAGCTGCAAAACTTGGACACTTAAGACAGAAATAATAGCGAAACTTAGTAACTTAAAGGTCAATAAAGCGATGTATGCTAGAAAATTATCATAACAAGAAGAGATCGAAAACTAATATAGTAAATTAGACAGAAAACGTGGCATCATTATCATCATGGTCATCATTATCATCGTCATCATCATCATAATCATTCTCGGCATATTCTACCGATTATGGTGCAGCCTTCCCCTTGTATAGTCGTTCTTCATTTCTTCTCACGATTGTCTAAAATTTGTTTTTCTATGCCATCTTTTGTAATATAATTTAATTTAAAAATTAAATTAATTCTTGTAACTAAGAAGGTATACAAACTATTTGCGTTGGCTGGGTTATATTTTAAATAAATTAAATATTATTATATCGAGTATATTATATTACCTTCTCTCTAAAGTCTCACGTAACACATCACTCGTAGAATAGCCATACAGCGTTTTGTTTCTTTGTCTTTAGAAAATAATATCCGCTTGACTGCATATTTTCAAGTAATGCAACTTTGTTCGAAATATTAGAACCATTCTCTCGTTTCTTAAGTTTCACGTAAACAAAGCTGCAGTAGTTAGATACAATATTTTATTAGGCATCTGATGTATAAGAATATATACAATATATATATATATATATATATATATATATATATATATGAATATATATATATATATATATATACATATATATACATATATATATATATATATATATATATATATATATATACATATATATATATATATATATATATATATATATATATATATATATATAATATAAATGTATATTATCAGGCTTTTTGGTCAGAAAATAAAACGATTTTTTTCTCGTAAACTCAATATTTCGCCATTTAGTTTATGGCTTTTTCAAGAGCGCACTAAAAAATTATTTATTGATAGAATTAAAAAAAATAACATAACATAAAAGAACTTACAGATGTAATCGTTCAAACAGCGTGGCACCAACACAACATCTTGAGTGACAGACTAAACATATTAAAACACAAACACATCTTCATGAGTGACAAACTAAAATTCAACTAAAATATTGTAATACCTGATTTTATTTAATTGTCCTACTATTTAATCAGTGACGTGCAGAAACTAATATATTTTATAAATTAAAAAGATTTTAAGATGTTACAATAAATGGAACTAAGTCCGTTAGCGTTTGTTTTGTTGTTAATAGCATTATTTGTCCTGCTTATATTGCACCTTTCGAGAAACAGCCTATTTTTGTAATTTGAGACTGATTGTATTA